TCAAATGTTCTTGAAAGTCTGAAAGAATTCACATGCAAAAAATCTGAAGTGCAATTATAGGTTCTGGGGCTTTTAAAAAATTGCCCAACACATCAGTTATTATGCAGCTCTGCTCCCTAAATGGCCCCAAATGAATAACCCCAAACCCATGGATGTGGAAGGGCAGTCACTCAGAAGAAGCAGCGGGGCATGGTGGCGGGGAGGGAGATGGGGCACAGGGCACAGCCTGCCTGGAGGTGAATGTGTGTGTGTGCATGTGCACACGCGTGCTTGTGCGGTGTGGGTGTGTGCAATGTGCCCGTGTGGCTTGGCTGCCTGCTGGCTATGTGCCACCCCCACTTCCCCTGCCCTCCCAGGGGCCGGTAGTAACTGTGGGGTAGTGTCCCCTGCTTCCGTAGCGCCGTATTGTAAGCAAATGTTTATTGCTGGGCCAAGTTGTGTGCTTTAACTGTATTTGTTTTCCTCAAATGATTTTTTGTTTTTGCTTTTTGTTCTTTGGGTGTTTACTTGCCCTGTCCCTGTCACATGAACCTCTGGGACCTGACAGCTCCGTGACTCAAGTCACTGTGCAGGTGCTCAGATGCTGGTGCTGGGCTGTCCTCTCTTTCTGGAGGCGGCCTCATCCTGAAGCTCCCTTGGGTTGTGGTTCAGCCGTTCCTTTTGCTCTTCCTGTGTAGGGTGCCCCCTTTGTTCTTCTCCACAAAGAGTGCTCCCTTTGCTCTTCTCCAGCAAAGATGCTCCCTTTGCTCTTCTCCGCGGTCGGTGCTCCCTTTGCGGGGTTCCATCCAGTCCTCTCTCCGGTTCTACTGTTACCCGCTTCCCCTCGGCCACTTGCACGCGCCCCCTTCCCTGGCAGCTTTTAGATGTTCCCTGTGCCTCTATGTTCCCGAGGCGGCACAAGGACATCCGGGGCACCTTTGGGTGGGCCGGTCCTCCTGCCCCGCAGCCTGCCAGATTGCCTCCCCTCCGCCTTGCACTCACTCCCAGGCCGCGGTGCTGGAATCAGAAGGCAGGAGCTTGGCCTCCTGGTGCTCTTGTCCATGCAGAAAGGGTGGCCTGTGGTCCCTGATAGAGTGGACTGTGGGGACCCAAGCCCCGGGGTCCTGCCGCGGTGTCTGGCACATGGGGGGCGGGGCCGGCCCTCGGCCCCAGCAGCAGCCCCTCTCAGCCAGCCCTCCCTCCACGCTGCGGAGGGACCTCTGGGCCCCTAAGGAGCCACCACAGAGGCGGGCGGGGGGCGGGGGCAGGGGCTTCACCTGCAGGCGCTGCTTCTCCCATGGCTCAGGGCCCGGAAGGGAAGACCTAGCGGCGGGGCGGCCGGGTTGGTGTCTGGAGGCGCCTCTCTCTGCCTCATCTCGTGTCCTCGCGTGGCCGCTCCTCTGCGCCCAAGGGTGTCTAGTGCCCCCCTCCTGCGACCACATTTCCTCTTCTTCCAAGGACACGGGTCCAGCTGGATGAGGGCCCACCCCAACGGCCTCCTTTTGCCCTGGTCGCCTCCCTAAAGGCCCCGTCTCTAAAGCAGCGGCCTCTTAGGCGCGGGGGTTAGGGCCCCGCCACGAGGACTCCAGGGGCCCACAGTTCAGCCCCAGGAGACACGGGCTGGGGCCGATGGGCACGTCTCCCCGCTGGTCACGGGCCACGCAAAAGGTGACTGTGAGAGACACGATTCTGGAAGATTCCGTGTGGGTGTGTAAGTGGCCAGATCCCTCTGCTGGGAGGAGGCTGCGAAGTGGAAACGTGCCCCACCGCCTGGGGAGACCCGCACACCTGGCGCAGGGCCACAGCCGGGCTGGGGCTGCTGGGGAAGGCTCACGAGGCCGGGGAGAGCCAGGCCCGCCTCCCGCACCGGGACACCGAGACACCGGGACACCTGGACACCGGGACACCTGGACACCGGGTCACCGGGACACCGGGACACCTGGACACCGGGACACCCGGACACCGGGACACCGGGACACCCGGACACCTGGACACCGGGACACCCGGACACCCGGACACCTGGACACAGGGACACCTGGACACCCGGACACCGGGACACCCGGACACCCGGACACCGGGACACGGGGACACGGCGCCGCGCCCCTCCCGCGCGCCCTCCTAAACACCCACGCTCCGCCCCGGCTTCCTGCCTCCAGAGCTTGGGACTCAGGCCCTGAAAGGCCATTGGCGCACGCGGAGCGGCGAGTTCCAAGGGCCTGGGAGCCGGGCAGGTCGCGGGAAGAAGGCGGCAGGTAACAGGTAACAGGCGCGGGGCGGGGCGGGGCGGGGCCGGGGGCGGGCGCAGCGGTGGAATCCAGCGTCCTGAACACCAACCGCCCCAGCGTCCGGCCAAACGCAGCCTCCGGGCATCTGATTTGTGTCTCCCACGGAGGATGCGGCTGAGGGGTGGGCTTTGAAGACAGACAGGCGGCCCCGGCTTTGAATTTTAGCCTCTTATCTGCAAAACCCAGGGGGTCTCAAGTCCTGGGCCCGGCGGACGACCGTGACCTACGGCCCGGGAAGCGCCCGGTGCGGGGCCTGCGCGTAGTAGGTGCTGCAGCCCCAGCGCCGCCCTCACCGAGGCGGGGCCGGGGCCGGGGCGGGGCCGAGCGGAGCGGGAGCCGAGCTTCCCGGGCGCGCGGGGGAGCCCGCGTGTGGGGCCGTGGCGCCCCCCGGTGGCCGCACGCGGTAATGCGGGGCAGGGTGGCGCGGCCCGCGAAAGCCGTTAGACCGACGACGGGCGTGAATCCAGGTGGGCCGCCCGCGAGGGGCGACCGGCCCTTCTCCGCCACCCTGGCGGGCTCACCCTCCATCTCTCCGCCAACAGCCAGCACCCGCCTTGGGGGGGAGCGGCTCCGACGACTTCGGGAGACCCTGTGCGCCCTGTCGCCCAGCACGCGAGGGATCCTAAAGCCGTCAGTAAGTGCGGCCGCGCCCCTGGGGCGATCCTAGCGCGACCCTAGCACTCGGAACACCTTGGCCCCGCGCTGCCTATACCCTCGCCTTGGGAGGAGGAGCGGATGCACGCCCCGCTCTTACTGGCTTTTCTGAGCTGAGAAGTGGAGCGGAGGAGGGGTTACTCTGCCTCGGAGCCCCCCCGCCACCAAAAATATAGACCCCCTGTGGCTACCTGGAGTCTCACTGGAGCCACGTATTCCTTTGCTTGTGCATCGCTCTCTCCAGACTTCTCTTGCACAGTGAAAATCCCCTGGAACTTCCAAACCCCCGGGTGAGGGTGAGTGCATCAGCTTTCTTCCCAGACAGGGGGGGCCCGGGGACACGGGGGTGCCGACACTTCGTGCTGTCATCATCTCCAGGTGGACCCCACTCCACACGCACCCTTCACCCCACCTGCTTTCTGCCCAGAGAGGGGCCAGCAGGGGATGAGGGGCCCAGTGGGGGGAGGCCTCCCTGGGGCGGGGAGACCTGCCCTCCAGCTGCTGAGCGGTCCCCAGGAGCGGGAGGCCCGAGGGCAGGTGTGGCCGGGACGCAGGGCCCCTACCAGTTCCCTCTGGAGCAGCAAGCCCCACACCAGCCCTGCTCCTCCTCCACCACCCTGCTCACGCGCCTCCTGACAACTTCCTGGGCTCTTTTTCCAGCAAAATGAGGTTCCGGATACCCCGACAGAGGGACCCCTGCTTGCCCCCCTGAGTATCCTCTCCCGCTGCCCCAGAAGATTCCTGCCAAGACCCCAAGGTAGTGGTCACTGGCCACAGGCCCCGGCAATGCCCATGGGGTGGTTTCAGGTTCTTGTATGGCACAAGACACCTGCCATGAATGCTGGACGTGGCGGGGCACAGGCCAAAGCTCCCAGAGGTGGCGCGGGCCAAGACTGAGGCGGTCTCTGAGCGCACCTGAGCCACCAGGGTGCGCCCGACTCTGGGCAACCTTCCCCGACCCGCAGGCTGCCGTGGGGGCTCAGGAATGAGCCTTCTTTTTTCTCCCCCCACCCCCACCGCGCGCCCATTCCCTCAGAGCCCTCTCTTCAAGCCACCCAAGGTGGTTCTGAAGCCGTCATGGCTCTCTCGCCCGCACCCCTCACTCCCATTCCACACACAGTCCACAGACCCTCCTTCCCTCGCTGGGCTTTGCTGGAACCTCTGCAGATTGAAGCAGCTCCCTCCTCGTTCCTATCCTCACCACCCCTGCGCGGTCCCTCCAAGCCCATCTCTCTGCCCTGGGATCCCTGGATCCTTCCAGGTCTGAACCCTCTTTACCTCCGTAATCCCGAGAGGAAAGCCACGGGCAGGGACTCTGGTCTCTTTGGCAGAAGAGGAAACTGAGGCACAGGAGAAGACACTGACAGACACAGAGCGAGTGGGTGGTGGCCCCGGGGAGAGAAATGGGAGGCCTGGTCGCCCCCTCACTCTGGGAGCTGCCTGTGGGGGGCGTGAGGGACAATCTTCACGGGTGGTGAACGAGTCGGGACACCTACTTTCCTGTTCACTTGCTGTGTGACCTCTGGCAGACCCCTCCTCTCTGGGCCTCTGTAGAGAGGGGATGTGGCCTCTGGGTGCCCCCGCGAGACTTTCTGTGACTTAACTGGGGCCTGGATGGTCTCCATGCCCTGGGGCTTCCGAGGGTCCTCAATCAAAATGCCAGAGGGCTTTTGAGAGGGCGTTGACAGTCCTGCGGTGTTTGGTGCTGGTGATACAAGTCTCCACTTCTCCACTGCGTCCTCTCTGGCCTTTTACTCCACGAGCATGGACACTTCGTGGAATCCCACCACAGCCTGAGGGAGGCAGGTACTACTTTCCCTGTTTTAGAGATGGTGAAACTGAGGGTCACAGGAGTGGCTGAGAAGGACTGCCATATGTTGCTCATGGAAGGTTCTGGAAGTCTGCTTTAGAAATTCAGGGTTTGCCCCAGGTCTTTGATCTGCCCCAGCAGAACTGAAGCCCTTAGGCCTCCTCTCAAGAGGTAGTATGGGAACTGTAAGAAAAAGACAGGGCTCCCAGCCTCTCTTGCCCCTTTAGCCAGTCCCTCAACCGCCCACAAGCAGACACCACAGCCCCGCCACAGCCCGCGAGCAGATGCAGGTTTATTATTGTACAGACTGCAGCACCCTGAACCCTCACCCCAAACACCAGCCCTAACCCTAGGCCCGGGAGCTCTGCTACCCAGAGGCTTATCCCCAGCACTGGGCCAGCCCCAAGTGTGGACAAGGCTCTCAGAGCCAAGGCCCGGGACCCACCGGCCCTGAGCAGTGGATTCCCTCAGAGTCCAGAAAAGCCCAGACACGGATGCAGAGCCACGGGCTGGCAGGGGACGGGAGAACGGCAGGCTCCTCTCTAAGAAACGCAGTCCGAGATGCCAACCTCGCCGTGAGGCCCCACGTGTGAGCTGGAGGACGGCTCCCAAGCACCGCGCGGGAAAGGCACGGCCAGTCTCATCAGAAGCAGACTCCAGCTTGCAGAGCTGCGCTGGGGAGGCTAGACCACACCGCCAAAGCCCCCAAGGTCCACATCCCACATCCCTGTGGCTCCGCTTGGATGCCATGGCCACAACCTTCCCTGGGTTTGGAAGGGCCAAGAAGCCCTTTCCCTCTGTCCCCCCGGGGCGCAGGGGCCCGGAGCCCTCGGCCTCCACCCCGCCCCGGCAAGCACAAGGGACCGGAGACCCAGTGTGGTACAAAACATCTGTAATGAGCTACATGCAAACACCATCTTCTGCCAAGCGAGCCGAGGGGCTTATTGTCCAACAGACTGCACCCACGGGGGCCTCCAGACTTGCTCTTCTCTCTCTGCGAAATGCTGGTTCACAAACAGCTTGTCTTGAGCACCTGCCTGAGAGTCTACCCCAGGGAAATCCGCCTGGGCTTCCACGCTCCTGCTCCCTCGGGCCACGGTGGGCCCCGGCGTGGGCAGCGGGCTAACTCTATGCTGGCAGCCCCAGGACTCCAGCAGGGTGGCCCTTTGGCACCCCGGGCACACCGGCAGCCCCAGACGCAATGGCAGCCTCAGGCTCCGGCGCACTCGATCACAGGGGCCATCCTGAATGCCACTTAGCCCTTCTTCCCGCTCCCACCCTGGCCACCTGGTCAGTGGCTTCTCAGCCACAGGTTCTAGTGCCTGAGTGTCCCCCCCTTCTCTTGGCCCAGAAGAGGGCTAACTGGACAAGGGGGCGGAGACCGGAGCACCGTGTCGGGGGTGTTCAAACTGAGCATGTCCATTTCCTCTATTGGCGTCCTGAACATCTGTCAGCAAGGGACAGCATGTGTGCTGCATGGAGCCCATGAAAGGCAGGGCCTCCACACTGAGGGTGGCTCCCTTGCTCACCGGCCATGGGGATCCGTCACTCCCTCGGCACCCAGACGATTAAAATAAAGCAGGGCAGGGGTGGAAGGAAAGGGGCTGGGAGTTAGTCTGATGATCCTGGTCTAGTGACTTCTCCCAAAACACACAAAAGCTCAGGGAAGGGGGACCCTAGCAGCAAGGCGAGGGAATAGATGAGGATGAGGGACAGGAGCGCTCAAGAGACCAGAGCGCTTCCTTCGAGGCTTCCCTGCCACAGGGCACAGAGCTCCCGGAGGACCCTCAGCACATTCTATTGCTCTGGGCACCACTGCCACCCAGGGCAGGTGCCACGGGAGGCCTCCTTAAACGGATGTGGTGTGGATGTGAGCTGGACCCCAGGGCTCCAGGTCTAGAGTTCAGTCCTCCTTGGCCACCTGGACTGGTAATGCTGGAAGATGGGTCCTCACATCCTCAGCAGGAACTCCTGGCTCTGCAAAGAGACCACAAGAGGCTGGGGTGAGAGAGGGAGGGAGGGAGGAAGCCCTTGAGCCAGGTTCCAGCCTCAGGCTTGATGTTCTCTGGGGCAAGAAGCCACTTCTCCCAGCCCCCAGGGCAGCCCTGCCCCCTACCCCTTGTAAGACAAGTCCCTGAGGCCAGTCCTGGCTTTGCTGGTCCCCTGCCCTCCACCTCCCCACTGACACCTGGCTTACCCCAGCCTTCCAGTCATTAAGCTGTCCCTGCAGCCATCATGCCCAGATGCCCCGACACAGGGGCCCTGCAGAGCTCAGTACTCACCCCCAGGGCACCACCTACCAGGCTAATATTGTCGCTATTTACTGGGTGATTGGACAGAGATTTCTTTTCTCCTGGGACCAAGGAGGGGCCTCCAGCCCACACTACAGCTAGGACTGAGGGAGGGGTCTTTGGCTGGGGGCAGGGCAAGAGGCAGAAACTCTGTCAGCATCACCAAGCACAGGATTTATGGTGTGAAGGCTGGTCCTAGCAGAGAAAAGACTTTGTCTTGTAGATTTTTCACCCTGAGACCCACAAGAGCCACTTTCCTCAGCGCAGACCAGTCCGCCTCTTTCACAGGACCTTACTGAGCCTTGGCGGGGGGAGGGACAACTAACACCGGGAGTTTCTGGAAGAGAGGACTGGGGGATGGGGAGGATAAAGTCAGAGGGATTACAGACTGAAGCAGGCAAGAGAGAAACGGAGAGCAGAGAGAAGAGGGTCTGCCCATCTCAGGCAGGCTCAGCTGAGACTGTGGGAGTCTGGGGAGAAGCTGCTGTGCCGCATGCGATGTCTGACTTTGGCATAAGGAGCTGTAAGTTAAGGGTTTACTCTATCTTTGCCCCGTCTCTTAGGGTGGGAGTGGGTCCCTGCTGTATCCCTGGATCCCAGCAGAGTAGCTGCTCAGTAAGTGGTGGTTGAATGAATGAGTGAGTGAGTGAAGCCCCCAGTGCTCACCTGACAGGAAGCAGGTGCCCTGCACATGTTGAGCTAACGAGCTATGTCTGTGTATGTGTGTGTGTGCGTGCGCGCGCGCGCGTGTTGGGGAACGTGTGATCTTTCAAATCACCAAACTGTTCCTGCCCCTGTTGGGGGATGGGCCTCAATTAGCCACAGGACTGATGCCCAGTAGGCAACATCCTTCCTCCATCACCCTGGTGCCCGGAGCTCTCTACAGGCTCCCACCCCCTGGGAGACACACCTGGTAGACAAGGGTCAGGTCAGGAGGTGAACGAAGAGGATGGCCAGGCCGATGTTAAGCAGGATCACCATGCAGATAAGGACGGTGTTGGGGACCTGGGAGCAGTGGAGAGAAGCCGCCTGAGTCCTTATGGCCTCGGAAATACCCGTACCCAAGACCCAGCAAGGCTAGACAGAGGAGCAGGAACTTCTGAAAGAACCCTCCTGAGAGCACCCCTTGCTTTGCTCCCTGCTGTGTCCAGCACCTGGACAGCAGGCCCTCGCGGCTGGAAGGATTCTGGGAAATGATTAACCAAACCATTTAGGGTTGAGAGGAGAACGGATGTGTCCCAAAGCACACAGTGGGCAGCAGTGGGCCTGGAAGCCAGAACGTGCCTTCCTTCCTGCTAACCCTCCTGGGACCATATTCACTGGTCTCACTGAATCTTGCCTTGCTCGTGATCCCTGGCTTCTAGCTCCCAGGCCCCTCTAATAAGCCCTCCTGGGTCCTTCCTCCACTACCAGGAAGCCCTCCCTGCTACACCTTGCAGCAGACGCCCTGCTCAGGTCGCCCCGGGCTCCCAGGTGCACTCCCCGCCCCTGAGCTGCTTAGGGCTCCCAGCCCTCCCTTCTCCGCAGCTGCCCCCTGCTCACCCGCCAGCAGGCACAAAGGGCTGCCCCCTGCCCCAAGGTGGGGCGACTCCGCAGTGTACTTTACGCCACCAAGTCCTCCGGCGTTAGGCTGCACTGGCCTCCGCCCACATCCCTGCCGGGGCCTCCCCGCCCGTCCCGCGCCATCGCTGACCCGCCCCCAAATCCTCCGCGCCGGAACCGCCCCCGGCCTCACCTCCTCCACCTCGGCCTCGGCCTCCGCGGAGGCCGCCTCCTTCCGAGCCCTCCTCTTGGCCCCCGCCTTGGTCAGCCCCCGGGCCTCAGTCTTGCGGGCCTTGGCCCTGGGCTCGGCTTTGGGCACGATGGGCTTGGGCTCCAGCTTGGCGGGGGGCTCGGGCGCGAGCTCGGGGGCGGCGGCCGGCGACGGCGGCGCGGAGTCGGGCCCCGCGGCCCGGGGCTCGGGCGCGGGCGCGGGCGCGGGCTCGGGCTCGTCCTCGAAGGGCGGCGGCGCGGGCGGGGCGGTGCGCACGGCGTAGCTGTGGTAGCCCCGGTACAGCGCGACCTCGGGCTCGGGCGGCGGCGCGGGCGGCGGCTGCAGCGCCTCGATGGCCATGCGCTCGGCGGCCGGCTCCCCGTTCCAGGCGCGCGGGCTCGCGGGGCGCTCCCTGGCCGCCCCCGGGCGGGGCCGCTTGGGCTGCGGGGGCGTCCCTGCCGGCGACGGGGGGCCGCCCTCGGGCGCGGGGGGCTCGTGCTCGTGCAGCTGCGGGCTCTCGCGGGCGGGCGGCGGGGCACCCGCGGGCCCTGGGCCCCGCTCCGGGGGCTCGAGCAGGCTCTCGGAGTTCTCCAGGATCTCCTGCAGCAGCCGGCGCTTCTGATACTCCGGTCCTGCGGGGGAGGGGGTGGATTCAGCGAGGCTGGCCCCGGACCCCGGACCCCGAACCCTGAACCCCGAACCCGAACCGGGTCCCACCGCCCCTGACCCTGCGACCCTGCGCAAGCCGTGTAACCTCGCCGCCCAGCCAGCACCTGCCTACGGTCCAGGGTGGGCCCAACACCGTGCCAAGCAATTTCCAAAGAGTAGCTCATTGCCGCCTTTTAACAACCCTGAGAGGTCCATGCTGTTACTGGCCTCATGTTTACAGATGAAGAAAGGGAGGCTCGGAGAGGTAACACCACTTGCCCAAAGTCACCCAGCTGACAAGGGGTAGAGCCAGCACCAGCAATCCAGTCCGACTGGCTCCAGTGTTTCTGCTTTTCACCGTGACACTGGTTTCTTTCCATTCCTTTATCTGAAAAATGGCCCAATCACGCCTATTTCATAAATGCTAATGGGGAAAAAAATGCATGAAAAATGCAAAACTCAGGGCCTGGCACATGGCGACAGCCGTAGCTATGAGCACCCAAGGTGGAGGCAATGCCAAGAGGTGTCGGTCTTCCTGGGACCAGCAAGGGGAGTGCTGTGCAGGGAGGCAATCTAGCCTCCCAGGTATGCATCTGCACTGCAAGGTCCCCCAACTGGTCCCCTGTGGTCTCCCTGCTACAGCCAGAATAACATTTCTTTTTTTTTTTTTTAATATTTTTTTTTGAATTTTTATTTATTTACGATAGGCACACAGTGAGAGAGAGAGAGAGGCAGAGACACAGGCAGAGGGAGAAGCAGGCTCCACGCACCGGGAGCCCGACGTGGGACTCGATCCTGGGTCTCCAGGATCGCGCCCTGGGCCAAAGGCAGGCGCCAAACCGCTGCGCCACCCAGGGATCCCCTAACATTTCTAAAATAAAGCCTAACCATGCCATTCACCACAAAACCCTTCAATGAGAACAGCAATCTCCCACCCGCTGGGCTCCCACACGCCAAATCTCTACAGACACAGGGGCTGCTGGGTTCTTCTTACTCCGAAGTGTCTTCCCACCAGCTCCTGCCTGGCTTACTATCTAGCCTCCCAGCCTGCCACTCTACTCCAACCTTCTGTGCCTTTGCACCCGCAGTCCCTTCCTCTGTTTGCCCGGCCCACACAGCACTACGTGGTGCCATGATTCTCAATGAACGTTCCCAAACCAGCAGCATCCAGCAGCATGGGCATTGCCTGGTCCTTGTTAGAAAAGCACATTCAGGGGTCCCTGTGTGGATCAGGTCATGATCTCAGGGTCCTGGGATTGAGCCCTGCGTTGGGCTCTGTGCTCAGTGCAGTGGCTGCCTGTCCCTCTCCCTCTGCTCACCCTCCACCCCACCCCGCTCCATCTCTCTCTCTCTAAAATAAATAAATAAAATCTTTAAAAAAAAGAAAGAAGAAAGAAGGAAAAGCACAGTTGTGGGCTCCACCCCAGACCTACTAAATCAGAAACTAAGGGTTGGCCCAGCATGCTGTGTCATGTTTGAGACCCACTGACCTGGTGAACGCTCATTCAGCCTTCAAGATTCAGCTCAAAGGGCCTCTCCTGAGGGCGGCCTTCTCTAGCATCTCCCTGCCTGACTGGGCTAAGGGCTCCCTGTGAGCTCCCAAAGCCCCTGGTCTAGTCATACAGAATTTATGCTGTGTGGAATTTAATCCTAACGGTGACATGAGAGCTCGATATGGACTGAGCCCTGTGCTCCCCACCTGACATGCATTTGATCCACTACCCTCCAAGAGTAAGTATTAGGGACGCCTGGGTGGCTCAGTGGTTGAGTGTCTGCCTTTGGCTCAGGGCGTGATCCTGGGATCCGGGATTGAGTCCTGCACTGGGATCCCTGCAGGGAGCCTGCTTCTCTCTCTGCCTGTGTCTCTGCCTTCTCTCTCTGTGTCTCTCATGAAAAATAAATCATTTTTTTTTAAAAAAAGTAAGTATTATTCTTACTTCTATTTTAAAGATCAGAAAATTGAGGTTTACAGAGGTTAAAGAACTTAACAAGGTCGCTGAGCTGGTCAGCAGCGGAGTCAGGAGGCAAATACATGCCTCACTCCCTGATATGCTGCCTTGATGATTCTCTGCTCCTCTAGATTCTGGATCCCGGAATCCCAGTTTTGTACCCCAGAGCCCAGCACAGTGCCTGACACATGGGCAACACTCAATGCCAAACTGAAAGGGATGAGCAAGAGCACGAAGGCTTTTTGCCTCCTCATCCACAGAGACTCCTCTCTTTACTAAGCTTCATCAGCTCAACTGTCAGCCCTGCCTGCAGGAGAAAGAGGAAGCAGCCTAGAGTGGGTCCAGTCCACAACTGGGAATCTCTGATTCCCCCATCTCAGCATGAGTCCCTAGTGTTACTCCATCCTATGCTTTCACCATACAACCCCCCACCCCCCATTTCTTGAACTCACGGACATTTGTGGACCCACTTGGCATCTCAGCTTCCCAAAAAAAAAAAAAAGAAAAATGGTCCAACCCTGGGGGACCTCCCCTCACCCTGTCCTGCCCGTCTCCACCCTGGCTGGCCCTACCTGGCTGGTAGAAGTCTGGAGCCAGCTCCCTGGCCAAAGTGCGAGCAATGTTGGACTCCTGGTTGGCAGCGAGGGCGGCCTGTTCTGCTGCCTCAGCTTTGGCCTTGGCGTGGCTCGTCCTAAGGAGACAACATAGTAGAGACTCAGGATCCCTCCAGAAAACCAGACCTCTGCCCACAAAAGATACATGAACAGAGCATTCATTCAATGTATATGTATTGAACCATGTGGCCCAGACTACTGTGCATCCCCTAGACCATTTCCTCTTCCTCTGGGCACACAGATGGGCTACATTTCCCCTGCAATCAGTGTGGTCAGGTGACTGAGTCCTGGCCAGTGCACTGTGGGAAGACATGATGTATGCTGTTTCCAGGCCTGGCCCATAAAAACCTCCTCTACAGTCCTCTACATTGTCTCCTTTCCCCCTGTTGCCGGGTGAAAGGAGGAAAGGCCAACACCCCGAATGGGGAATTTAACCTCTTTTGTGTCACAGGCCCCTTTGGCATCTGGTGACTCTTAGGAACCCTTTCACAGAATAATATTTTAAAATACATAAAAGACGGGCAGCCCCAGTGGCGCAGCGGTTTAGCGCCGCCTGCAGCCCAGGGCATGATCTGGAGACCCTGGATCGAGTCCCACGTCAGGCTCTCTGCATGGAGCCTGCTTCTCCCTCTGCCAGTGTCTCTGTCTCTCTCTCTCTGCAGCTCTATGAATAAATAAATAAAATCTTTAAAAAAAAACCATAAAATACGTAGGATTACAAAGGGATGCAATTATATTGACACACTGTTACCAAAATATTTAAAGGAACAAATCTGTAATATAATGCATGTCCTTCTTTATTAACACATCAAAATATCTAAGTGTACTTACTACAATTTTTAAAGTACAGATCAGTATAAAGGACATTTGAAAGATATCTGTGAAAGGGGCACTGGGTAGCTCAGTGGGGGGGACCATGTGGCTCTTGATCTTGGGAGTCTGAAGCCCACATGGGGTATGAAGATTACTTAAAAAAATAAAATCTTTATAAGAAAGATATCTGAAACAATAATAATATGATTTCCACTGGTGAGAAAGTCACAGATATTTCTACTACTACGATGGTTTATTGCCTACCTCCATCACTGAAGCAAATGCTACATTTCAGTAAGAGGTCAGTAAAAAAGATAGTTTTCCCATCTGTTGTAGACACTTGTGGTGCCCTGCCCAGATCCCTTCTCTGGGAAAATACACCCAGCCCTAGCTCCTGTACTGGCTGCTAATGGCTCACTGCTGTCCCAGGGAACTGCACCCAAGAGAAGCCACGTTGGGTGGCAGCTCACAACTAATGACCTATGACACCCACCAGTCCCCTTCCTGCTCCAGGAGGAACCAACTCTGTGGTACAAGCCAGGCTCCAGAACCCCCACCATGGGGTCAGACTGAAGCAGGACTGCAGGTGAGAGCACACCCTTCCTTGGTCACTTCTCAACCCTACTCTGCTTCTGTCACTACCCCTCTGTCCTGAGAGTGTCCCCTCATAAAAATAATCTGCTCAAGAATCCCCACCTCAGGCTCAGCTTCTAGGCAGTCTAACTAAGACAGCATCCAAGTTCATGGACTCCCTGAATTCCATCCACAAAACCCGCTGTGGGCCCCACGTTAAGAAACATAGTGGAAGGAACCCAGGTCTAGAAAGGATTCTTGCACAGTGCAAAGTTTCCTTGCCACAGTCCCACACTGGAACACAGCACATTTAGGTATTAAACATTCAATATGGAACATTAAAGCAGGCCTTACATGTTTGCTGTGTTAACCACCTGAGATTTCAGGGATGTTTGTTTGTTTCAGCTGTTAGTCTAGCCAGGAGCACTTACTGAAATAATAATAGCTTCGTTATGAATGGGCCAGGTACCATTCTAAAGGAATTATGAAGATTATCTTGTGTAATCATCATCATACCTTAGGGAAGCCGGTGCCGTTGTTATTTTCCAGATTTTACAGAAAAGAAAGTGGAAGTACAGACAAGTGAAATAATTTGTCCTGGGCCTCAGGGTCATGAAGTGCAGGAGTTAGGATTTTGAACCCAGGCAAGATGACTCCAGTGATTATGTGCTTGAACACTACTCTGGAACATGTGCCACGCTTGGCCAGGAGCCAAGGGCAGAGACTCCCGTGGGGAAGACAAACCCTGTCCCTGTCCTCACTGTCAAGTGAGGGAGGAAGGTGGTAAACAAACAACAAAACATCTCTAATAAAATGTGATTAAGTGAAAAATCCTCAACTGCAACTGTGAGAAGTGCTATGAAGGAAGAGTATAGAAGGCAGTGAACATGGATAGGAAGATGGTACAGATTGGTGGCAGGGGTGGAGTCAGGGAAGGTTTCTTTGAGAATGGGACATTTAAGTTGAGATAAAGTTAGATGAAACAAAAGTTAGAGCCATAATAACAGGACAGGTGGGGACAGCAAGGCAGGTAGAGGACAGAGCAGGTACAAAGGCCCTGAGAGAGACAGCAAGAGCTCAGTGCCTTTGGGCAACTGAAAGGTCAACTCAGTGTCCACACTGCTGATGAGTTTGGGGAGTTGATGTGTGTTTGTCTTTGTATCTCAGTCTCCAGTGTCTACAGAATTGGGCCTGGAATAAGGGATACAGCTTTTATGAAGCTCCTTCCATATGAAAGGCCCTTTACCTACGCTATCCCCCTCAATCCTCAAAACTGCCTGAGGTGGTTCTTACTGTTCGTACTTCACACATGGGGAAACTGAGGCTCAGAGAGGTTATCTTCTCAAGAAAGTACACTGATGGTTAACCCAAAGCATTTACTACATGCCACGGGGTTTACAGAAATGAACTCATCTGATCCCCAATCACGCTGGGTGGCAGATGGTACTACCACCATTCCTCTTTACAGAGGAGAAATGCAGGGCACGAGGTTTTAAGGAACTAATGCAAGTGGCAGAGGAAGACTTCAAACCAAGGCCTTCTGGGCTCTAGAGTCTGTGCCTTTGACCACAGGCTATACAGTCGATAATGAGTGGTGGCGGTCAGACCTAGAACTGACTTCCAAGCCCTGCCCTCTGCTATGCCACACTGCCACAGTAATGGTTACTAAAGGAAAGAATACACAAAGGTGGGGTGCCTGGCTGGCTTAGTGGCTCTTGATCTCTTGATCTCGGGGTCATGAATTTGAGGCCCACATTGGATATAGAGTTTACTTAAAAAAAAAAAAAAGAGTACATAAATGAGCTCATGCACATGCACAGGTCTGAGCAAAGGGGCACCACAAGGAATAGCCCAGAGCACAACTTTCGATTCCAATTTTGGCTCTGCCAAGGCTGGCACTAAGGTGAGACAAGTGAGGCATTTACCGCAGGCTCAAAATTTAGGAAGATGTGAAAAACTCAGGAAGCAAGATAAAACGATACTTTAAAGCAATATTTTTAAAAGTCAGAAATAATGCCAAAAATCCTTAATGAACAAGTTATGATCAAAATTTAAATAAAAACTAGATCAGACCCTATACTTCTGCATGACCTTGCTCATGTCACCCGAGTCCCAACCCCATTGAGACTCCAGGACTGTGAGTGAGTAGCTCTGCCTCTCTGTGCCCCAGTTTCTTCATCTGTATGATGGAGATCGTAATTCTCCCCTCTTGGAATTGCTATGAAAACTAACGATTTAAGAGGCAGCATATGAAAAGTGTTTAGGTCAGGATGGGTCTGAGCGGAGAGGGTGGTGATTGGTGGTGGTGATGGTGGTGGAGGTGGTGATGGAGGTGGAGGCAGTGGTGACTCATGAGGTAGTGGTGGTGGTGGTGGTGTAATGGTGGGAAAGGTGGTGGTGACAGTGGTGGTGATGGAGGAGGTGAGGTGGTGGTGGTGGTGGTGGTGGTGACGGAAGTGATGGTGGTAGAAGCAGTGGTGGAGTCAGTGATGGTGGTAGTGACAGTGGCGACAGTGGTGGAGGAGATGGTGGTGGTGGAGAAGGTGGTATTGGAGGTAGAGGTGATGATGGAGGATGTAGTGGTGGAGGACACGATGGAGGTGGAGGTGATGGTGGTGGTGGTGGAGGAAGTGGAAGTGATGGTGATGGCGGGGGGTGGGAGGTGGAGGTGGTGGTGGTAGTGGTGAAGGAGGTAGTGTTGGAGGTAGAGGTGATAATGGAGGAGGTAGTGGTGGAAGACACAATGGAGGTGGAGTGATGGTGGTGGTGAAGGAGGTGGAGGTGATGGTGGTAGAGAAAGCAGTGGTGGTAGAGGTGGTGATGAAGGAAGAGGAGGAGGAGGAAAAAATAAGGTTTATGACAACAGAACTGAATGTGGTACGTGCATATCCCCAGGTTCATATTTGCCTGTACACAGATGCATGTGATTCAAAGTCCTACACTTTCCAGAAACACTTCCCTGGAAATCTGAAACCCCAGGTGGGGGGGGGGGGGGGGGGAAGGGCTGGGCAAACCTTCAAACAGAGAAAATGTCCTTTTTTGGTAACACAAGCTGGATGGTGCTTGCTTGCTTCCTGGTGCCCAGGGAAGCTGTGTTGCAGGACTCTTCCTAAGGCCAGCATGACGGCTTGCGCACAGAGCCCCAGAAGCACTGGGGGATCAACCGTGGACCCCACCCAGAACAGCCAGAACAGGGGTGGAGAAAGGGGCAATGAGGGCTGCCGTGTTCAAAGGAAGCACACCCCCCCTTCCCTGTGTCTGTCAGTCTGGCTGACTGAACCCCTTATCAGCCCTCCCCCACATCTCTGGTCTCAGGAATGGCTCCCAGCCTTCGAGCCAGGCACGCCAGTGTTCTCCCGCTCCCTCCTCCTCATCTCCTTGCCGCAGCCCAGCCGCAGCCAAGGCCATGACTCACCAGGTCCCCTCTCCTACTCCTGCTAGGGCTCCAGCATCTGCAGCCTCTCCCTCCTTCCGTCACTGCTCCTCAAAGCCCCCCGACGTGCTCCCTACAACTGATTGCAGTGGCACCGTGGGCTGGCTTAATCCAGTTGTCCAGCGGCCTCAACTCTTGCTTAAAATCTTTGCAAGGCTTCCCACGCTCAAAATAAAGCCCAGGGCACTTAACGCAACGTCGGGGCAGGCGCCCCGGACCCTCGCCAGGCAGTTCTGACGGGTCTATCACCAGCTGCCT